TCAGAATATGATTGTAAAGGTTCAATGGGCCAAGAGGAGTACTAATTCCATGGCTGACACCTTGGCTAAACAGGGGGTGGGAAGATCTAATTTCTTTTGGGCTATATTGTAATAGGTGTTTTCAGTTCTGTAAGTGAGGGTTAAGATATCTTACCCCTCCAATCTGGTTGTAATTTCCATATATTTTAATAAAATTACTGTTATTGATCAAAAAAAAACCTCAGTTGAATCTCAAGGGCATGGTGAGTGCAAATAAGAAGATGCACAGACAATGGCATGGTTGTGGAATAGAGAGGTTACTTACCAGATGGAAAAGTAGAGAGGTTGAAGGCTTAATTGGTTTCTAAGGGTTACTCACAGTTGTATACAATAGATTATACAAAGACATTCTGTCCTGTTGCTAAGATTGAATCCGTTAGGTTCTGATATCTTTAGCAGCTATGTATGACTAGCCCTTGTTTCAGCTCAACATCAAGAATACCTTCTTACATGGCGACCTTCTTGATGAGATTTATATGGAGCAACTACCAGGGTTTATTGCTCAAGGAGAGGAAGGTAAGGTAGACTCAAGAAGGAAGGCAATTCCTAGGCTGAAACAGTCTCCATATTCTTGGTTTGGAAAATTTAGTGAAGTGATAAAAGACTTTGGTATGATAGAGTGTTAGGTTGATCACTCAATATTCAGCTATGATTCTGAAGCTGGGAAGATTTTGTTGGTGGAATATGTAGATGATATTGTTAAAACYGATAATGATAGGTTGGGGATTGACAGATTTAAGGCCTTTCTTCATGATCACTTCCAAATGAAAGATCTTGGCAAACTAAAGTATTTTTTGGGTATAGAAGTTGCAAGGTCAAAGCATCACATCAATTTGTGCCAAAGGAAGTATGTGCTTGACTGTTGGGTGCCAAACCAGCTGGAATACCCATGGAGCCAAATGTCAAATTATGTATTGATGCATATGAAGAATTTGATAATCCTAGGAGGTAAAAATGGTTACTGAGCAAGTTAAACTATCTAACTATTACCTAGATAGATATCTCTTTTGCAGTTAGTGTGGTTAGCTAGTTTATGTAGAACCCTCGGGTTCCCCATTGGAATGCAATTCCAAGAGTTGTGTGGTTTTTGAGGGGAGCTCCAAGTCATGGGTACAAAGCCTGCGGGAAGTCTTGAAATAGAAGGTTACATAGATGCAGATTGGGCTAGCTCAATATCTTATAGAAGATCTACTACTGGGTATTGTACCTTTCTTGGATAGAATTTAACTACATGAAAGAGCAAGAAGCAATGCTGAAGCTGATAGAGCCATGGCACATACCGCTTGTGCGTTAGGGTACTAAGTTAATAGCCCTATGAAGTTGTAATGTGACAACCAAGCTGCAACTCACATCTCATCTAATCCAGTCTTCCGTGAAAGAACAAAGCACATAGAGGTCGACTACACTTTACAAGAGAGTAAGTGCTTAGTAGAGTGGTAACATGTGAACTCAGGAAGTCAGTGGGCAGATTTGTTTAACAAAAGGTTGAGTCGAGGAAGAGTTGATTACATATGTAATAAGCTAGGACTATATAACATATACTCACCACCTTGAAGGGGAGTGTTAGAGGTGGCAGTCAAACTTCCTATACCATTTTAAGATTCCTTTGTCAGACTCRAAGCAGTTGAAAACAGGTTAAAGGGTTGATTATCACAATTTCAGATCGGTCATTGGTTTCCTTATGCCATGTGACCTGTGTAGGGGGACAGAAGCAGGATTTTCTGTTGTTTTTGTGGTGAAAACAATTTCATCTCTTCTCTGATTTGCATAATGGCTGCATTTGGAGGTGAAAATAAAAACAATATAAGATTCCCTAATATACAAATTACCACAGTCCGATTGAATGGGACAAACATTTAAGAATGGTTCCAAACTTCCAATCGGCTAAGCAGTGCATTGGAGACAGAGAAATGAATTATATTATAGGCAGGGGAAACAGCCCAAGGTTGAAGATCCTTCTTACTCTGGGTGGGAATAAGATAATTTGATGGTAATGCCATGGCTTGGCAGTTCCATGGAGCCCCATATTAATAGAAATTACCTTTTTCCCCACAGTAGTAGAAATTACCTATTCTATCAGGACTGGGGGTTTTAAGGAAATAGAAAGGAGATATTTGTGCAATGTTCTCAGGACCGATAGGGGGAGGRGATTCCACAAGGGCAGAGCTAATAGGGGTAGTGTATGGGATGCAAAAGACTATGGAACAGGGAGTGGAAAAAAATTGTAATTCAAGGAGATTCAAAAAATTGTGATAAGTTGACTGATGAAAATAGAGTAAATTTTGTTTGTGTTCAGAAATGAGATTAATAAGTTCAAGTGGATCACAAGAGACATGCAGTTGAAGATACAGTGGATACAAAGATTGGCAGATTGCCTGGCTGACCATCTCACAAAACAGGGAGTATATGGATATCATATCATCTTTTTAAGATACCTTGTAAAATTGTATGGGGGGAGGGGGGAGACATTATTTGTGTAATAACAGGCATATTCCTTGTCACCCACTTGAATTTTTTGACTTCATTACTGTAGCACCACATAGTATCCTCAGGGTTCTTCAACCACCCAACCACCACCTTGGAATCCCCTTCAATAATAACTGTCCTACAACCAGTTGTTTTGTAAATTGCTCTCCTTTTAGAGCTGCTAACAGTTCTGCTCTGACTGAATCCCCAAATCCCAAGGGACCTGAATAGAGAAGTACAATTTCTCCAGCCTCATTTCTCAGGACCCCCCGCCCCCATTCCAGAGCGCCCTGGATTGCACTTACTTCATAGTTGTGCTGTACAAATATTTATTGGTTCAATCAGGGAGGTAAAGTGTGAATGTCCAGTCTAAACTATTCATTAATTAAACATACACAAAGTTTATTGATCAAAGTTATAGGAAGACATGGTACACCATCATGCACTGGTACACAATTAACAATAAAAAATGGATAGAACAACCAAACAATCTAGATTACTAGTTCCACTTGACAAGGGGCACCAAAGAACCAATAATGGCTTTGACAGAACTGGAATCAATTGGCAACTTTCTTCTTCTGAAAATAAGATTCCCAATAAGCTAGCAAATACTATATACCATAGACTGTCATTCAATAAAATGACATGTTGGCCAAGAACCTTTCTTTCTTAATATCTAGAGGCATTAATATTTCTATTAAAAATTGGCAACTGGTCAAGTAAAATCCATCTGTACAAAGACTGCTTTACATGATAAATTGAATCAGATAAGATCTAGTCATGGTTAAAAACAATTTCTTATAATGAGGAATTTTAAAAATCAATAATTGAAAAAGAAATGCATCATTCATAAGCATACCATCAGCAAATCAAGATAGCCTATTTTTTCCAATCATAAAATCAACATTCTATTTTTGCCAGGCTATAATTTCTTATCAAGCATTCCAAAAGGAAAGTAGATGGTACAATTACCAGCTCAAGAAGAAAATGAGAATCCTGTGAATACAACTCTTGTGAAAGACAGTGGAGGGCTCTCCCTAGGCGAGCATGCTGCTTCTGCAATATGCTACTCTCGGCAGCTGTAAGACTTGAGTCTAACCCAAATTCCTCACGCCTAATAATCTCAATAACAAGGCTTGCATCCTCTTCACCATTTTCTGATAAAATTTGTGCACAACCTTTGCCTGACGTATCATTAGATACTCTACTGATTTGTTCCTCATCATGGATTTCAAAACATGTTTTATTATGTGCATCTTCCTCAACAGCGACCATAATTTCCCCTTTCGAAGAGAACTGACCCATTGATGAATCTGGTGCATAATTTGAATTCATGTTAAATGCAGGACTTGCATCTTTGAAGGTAGAAGTGTGAGAGGAAAGTAAGTCAACAATATTTGTTGAACAAAATGCATGGTAATCTTCAATCCATTCCAAAATACCAAGTGACAACCCCAGGTCATGAAGCATGAGACGCTGATCAATATTCTTGCATTCATGTAAAATAGCTAAAGCAGCATTCTTGGTTACAGACCTTAATCCTAAGAACAATATATCAACACCAAGACTGCGAAATTCTGAAGGTAGGTAACTAAGACATTCAAGGATGAATCTAGAAGCAACTGGAATTGCTTTATTCAGATTGCTTAGATTTTCAAATAATTCATTACTTGGCAATCTATTCACATCACCACCTGTAAGATTAACCAAAAGTTGGTTGCTTAGGCTGCCTACATCAAGAATTTGTTCTCTCAGGGATGTCTCATGAATACTAAGATCTCCACGACCTTTTGATTCGATGGAATCCACAGAATTTTTTATCATTACTTCAATTGCACGCTGTGCATGGCATTTTAAAAGGGACATAGGAATATGTTTTTGCCCACCATATAATGCAACCAAAGACAACAACTTTACTGCTGTTTGAAAAGAGGAACCTTGTAGCAAAGCTTCCAGAAACTCATCAACCGTCGCTGAATGATCAATCTTGATTACCTTTGAATCTCTTGTCACTAAACACATCAAATCTTTTGTATCAACTTCACTTAACAACCATTCGATGAAGGGACCAAGTGAGGGAGCAAATACATGGTCCCAATGTGACCATGATTGTAAATCTGACAACATTGGCGCCTTAAGCAAGCATTCTACCGCAGCAGTAGTTTCTGTTGAATGTTTCCCATTTAGAACCAATGAGTCTCCTACAGAGCCCGTCCCCAACAACACTACAGAAAATAAAACACAGCTGGAAGTGGAAATACTCGTCTTCTTACTTAAGCTTTCTAACAAATCTGCTGAGGGTTCATTTCCCGTTATCTCAAAACAGATTAATGGGAACTGCTTCTTCAGAAGCATGCATATGTGTTGATTGCTTATAAGATGATTCTCGCCCAAGCTAGTAATAGCTTGTGATAGTAAAGCAACTAGCTGATTCTTAAGCATTGAAACCTCCAAAGAAGACTTTTGACTGATGTCTAGAGTCAAACTTCTGCACAATTCATTAGGAAGCAATGAAGCATGTCTTTCTAAGAAAATCAGAAAGTCCCCATAGCCGATGGAATCAAATTCCTTGACAGAAAACTGCTCCGTCAACCATAACTCACAATTGCGAAGTTTTCTCAAGCATATCAGTTGACTTTCTAAAGGCATTTTTCCTTCTATTGGAATATCATGATCAAGCTCAAAAAACAAAGCAACTTTCTTCATAACATCCTCAACAGTAATGCCTGCAAAATGTATTAGCCTATAAGGTAAACCACAATTTACAGGGGCATGTACAATGATTTAATTAAGACTAGAATAGAATAAAACCAGAATTATATCAGATAAATGATGGTAGATGTGGGCAACTTCTAAGTGGAAGAAAGAAATATTAGGTGCATCCAAAATCAGATTCTATCCAACTATAAGATTATGTGTATTGGATTGCAAAATGGACAAGCTCAAAATACAAATTTTTTTCACAGCATCCTCAGCAGTAGCACCAGAAAAATACATCAGATAAATTACAGGAGGGAATGTGATGAGGACCAGAACTTGGTGCAATGGTGAAATCACAAACCAACAAACATGAAGACTGGATAGCAAGAACAAACATTGGGTAATAGCTCTTACGAAATGAAATATGATACAGAAATATGACATGAACATATAAGAAGATTTTAGTCAAAACTGACAGAAAAACATCAGCCATGTATCCAGTAGAAGAATCCATAAAAAGGAAAAGGCATTAAGTGCATCCATAAAAACATCAGCCTTGTATACAGTAGTACAACCTGTCCAACTCAAAGATTATGCATGTACATACAAGGTTCCAAATATCGACACAGCCGGCGTATCGGCCTTGTCAGTACTTTTTTTTAGTTATATTTTTTTTCGAAACTGGTTCAGAGGGGTCGGTTTAAGGCCCGGCTACCCTCTGAACCAGTGGCTGACCCGATACAACCCCTGGAGGGGCATATCGGTAAGTCATCGGCACGATACATATCGGCCGATATGGGCCAATACGTATCAATACTTTGAACCTTGTGTACATAAGCATGCAAATATCTATTAAAATATGTAGATTAAGACATTAAATATGATAAAACAAGTATGGATTCTGTCCAACTAGGTTAAAGTCACAAACCCCTATATGAATGCAGTGCAATACCATATCCAAAGTTTTCTTCTCTCTTGAGCTCCTGACTTGTGTCTATTAGCTTGTAAACATCTTTCATGATTATCATGGTTTCTTTTTAAATTCCTTAATAAACCAGCATTGGGTGATGATATGGTGCATGAAGAATAGAGAAAGCCTCCTCACTTACCCAATCTTTTTTATACAATAAAGTAACAGAACAAAATTACTAATACAGTGCAATTACATGGCCAATTGGACAATGATTGGGATGCTGAAGTTGCTGCCAAATGTACAAGGACGTTCCCTTGGAGGCCATTAATGCAATCCTCCCTCAGTTTCTTCCCTTTATTGGGCATAATGTTCATTTGGGTAACTTGGGTAAAATTTTGAGAATATAAGTGATTGGATCTGTTGAAGATTAATTAGTTTTATGATGTTTTTCTGAGTAGATGTTTTATGTTAGTTGTTAGATAGTAGGTGGGGACCACAGTAGTTATCTGAGTCCAAATTTTATTATGTTTTTGARTGTTATATATGCTGTTTTATGTTTTGCCGCCCTATATGGGCATAGTTGTCTTTGTACTGTTCTACTATTTTGGTATAAATAATAAGTGAAGGGGGTGGCCAGACTATTGCTCTCTTTTCTTTTCAACTTCTCTTCTTCTCTTCCTCTCCTTCTCTCTTCAAGAAACTACTTTCTTTCATATTTTTTAATTCAGCAGATTCCTACTTGGTACCGGAGCATCGACTAGGGTTTCTTGAAGCATTCTCATGCAGCCCTAGATCAGCTGACTGCATGAAGTAGTAAAGGGCTGATTGATCTGCTATAGATTGCCCAGTTCTTGGAGTTTTTGCTGGGATCTAGACATCAGGAAGGTGATCTACTATTCGGCATCAAAATCAGGAAGAACTGGAGTATGGGGAAGAGTCCTAGAAAAGTTGGACTCTTTGTTTTTGATCTGATCTTGGGCACCCAGGTATTGTTAGTTTTCTTTTGATTTTTTGAAGAGGGCAGTTTGGTTTCTAGAATTTTCTAGGCCTCCCGAAGTGATCGATTCACTTTTCTCTCTGTTGGGAGGCGTGGAGATGAGAGAGATTTCCCTCCAGCTAGGGTTTTCTTCTTCCGGAAGGGTTGGTTTCTATGTGTGTGATATTAAATTATTTTTTGAAGGTCTCCAATCTATTTTTTTCTTACT